TACTGCCCTCCCAACCATCCACCCACTCAAACACACACACACACAACACACACTCTCTCTCTCTCTCTCTCTCTTCACACATACACACACACACACACACACACGCACACTCTCTCTCTCTCTCTCTCTCATCTCCCTTATCTCTCTTATCTCACCCACACACACACATACGCACACACACTCTCTCTCTCTCATATCCCTCATCTCTCTTTTCTCACCAACCCACACACACACTCTCTCTCTCTCTCTCTCTCTCATCTCCCTCATCTCTCTTTTCTCACCCACACACACACACACACACACACACACACAACATCTCTCTCTCTCTCTCTCTCTCTCTCTCATCTCTTCCGTCTCTCTTTTCTCACCCATACACACACACGCACACACACACACTCTCTCATCTCCCTCATCTCTCTTTTCTCACCCACACACAACGCACACACACACGCACGCGCTCTCTCTCTCTCTCTCTCTCTCTCATCTCCCTAATCTCCCTCATCTCCCTCATCTCTCTGTTCTCACCCACACACACACACACACTCACACACACTCTCTCTCTCATTCACACACGCACCATTTTAATCTCTCTTAGCACATCGTCTGTAGATCCACCAAATTTGCCCTTTGCCCTGCTAACCCACTCCCACTCCCACCCCCACTCCCCATTCTCCAGCAAGTTGATGTCTCAGGGACTCCGAGTCCTTCAGCTAATGCTTAGTCCGACACATAATAGAAGCTGTCATCCCGATGCCAGTGCCCACCCATCAAACCACACTCCGGAACGGTCATCTCTTTTTATCCTCACCGTCCGTCTACCTCGAGACACTACTGTAGAAGTCAGCTTTTCTTCTCTCCTTCATTGTTTAACTTGGATCAATCGGGTCTTCTACTACGCTTGGTACATCATCGGCTCTGTCCATACATACACCAAACGACACCCTGGTTTCTATTATTTCATTAAATAAATTATTATTCTCTTTCTTGTTCAGTTGTCTTCGACTTCGTTCCTTGTTTCCCCTTTCTCTCTTTTGTCGAATCGCATCACAATTCAACCCTTTTCCTGCCTACTTCTCAGTTATTTAAACATTATAGTTTTCTATATTTCTTAACATTCTGTTCTATTATACATCCACCAAATATGAATTCTATTCTTTCTTCCTATGAGACTATTTTCGTCTACTTCCTACAGCTCTTAATAATTACTTCATTCTGAATCTTTCTCCCCCCCCCCCCCACCGTCCACCCCCTCTCTCTCTCTCTCTCTCTCTCTCGCGTAAATCATACTGTATGCACAGAGATATGTTATAATTTGTATTCATAGTTATGTTTGTATTCATAGATATGTTAATCATATGACATTTCCTTGATTGAAATTTCAAAAGCTTTTAGATTTGGTGAACATGGAGATGATGAATGCTTGAAGATAAAAGGGGATTTAAGTGTGCGTATAGACACCCACATCAAGACGGACACCTTGCTTATTATGTGTGTCCAGTTGAGGGAAATGAAAGGTATTTGCACTTTTAAATCTAATGTCAATAAACTTACATGAAGGCGAGGGGATTCAGGGGAAAGGTTAAATGTAACGAAAACATGGAATTTTTTAATGTGGTTTAGGACTGAAGGACTTTGTAGACAGGGGATTACGCACTTTGACGAATTCTGAATGTTCGTTATATCTCTGTAATCGCACAGTACGAAATTAATGAGATACAGGTACAGGGGCCTGTTTCATAAAACTTGTTATCTATAACAACTGCTAAATTTCTATGGCAATTTGATCTCAGCCAATCAGATGCCAGTAGCTTATAACAATAGCTTGTTATTGATATCAAGTTTTATGAAACAGGGCCCAGGTGTATGGGCACATTTTCATTCCGCAGGAAGGGGGGTGGGGTGGGGGCTGATGTCTGTTGCACTTATGGATCAACTCCCTGGTGTCTATGTTTGCGAGAAAGCGGAGCGATCGAGCAAAATTTTCTACAATTTAATGTATTCTGAAAACATTATTTAATAGAAAAGTCTTTGTTTAGAAGGGAAAAAAGATTTGTTCGTAATAAAGTTACGTATAATTATATGCAAATAACAGTTTTTCTACTTAAAATTCAAAGCGACATCGTGAAAAACTCCTTAATTTTAAAATTCGTATGGGTTGCTGGATAAAATAATATCCATTTAAATAGAATGTTTCTTCTTAGCATAAAGTTTAATTATTAATGTGCGAACCTACACCTAACATCCATTGCTTTCAAGTAGGTTCGTTTTTTTCATTTCCTGTAACCAAATCATTTTGCATTACAATGACCAAAGCAATGTCAAATATATTTCAATACTCACTTCTGTTATATCATTACGTTTATTATTGTTTGTCATTGTTTATATTATGTGAAAAGAAATGAAAAATAAATTCGCTCTGTATAGAGCTACTACTACTACTACTACTACTACTACTACTACTACTACTACTACTACTACAACTACAGTATACAGAGTTTATGTAGCGAGTCCAGCACTTTGCAACATGGGCACAGAAAACAAGGTCTGAGAAGCAAGCTCATCCTGATATACATTTTAAACAATTATGAATTTGATCGGATCATTTTTAATTCATGGAGGCTATGTTTTCGCCTTGATACACTTTATTCTATATACGCTCCATTCCCTATTATCGGAGAAAACTTTCAATCGGTAGGTGGTGTCAATAAAAATGGAAAAAATATATATAATTTTTGAGGAAAATCAGATGAAATATAGCACAGTTATAGTTAAGCGATCAGGCGCGTATTAGATACTCCAAGGCATACCTGCCGAGCATCTCCTGCACTGAAATTCATAACTCCACGAAATTATGAAATTCAGGGAATTTCATATCATTTGGTGATTATTTGGTGATAGATGTTTAGATCTATTTCATAAAGCGGTTGGGTAAAACGCATACATACAATGACTATATCTTTGGTAAATGGAATATAATCATTTTCCTCATCTTAATCGGATTATGTGGCTGTTAATTAATTTATTTCTGACTGGTCGCCCATATAGGTTCCTTTCCTGAGGCCGTCATCACGTTCAAGCTCTAGCTTAAAATGGCGGTCTCCTGCATTTTTTTTAAATTTTGAAATGATTTGTCAACTATGTGTGTGTGTTTTTTTTTATAGGTATACTTATATGATTGATTTTTATTATGATATGATATTTATTTGGCCTTTTGTTAATAATATACATGTACCTAGTTTGTATTATTTTGGTGTGTGAGAAAGCCAAAAATAAAATCAAACAAACACATTTTCCTCACTCTTTCGTTGTTGTCTGGCTCATTTTCTGTTATTTTCTGTTAAAGATACTATGTCCCATTTGCAGCCAACATAAAATGTTGTAGAACTTTGCAGGAATTATGAATATGTCATGTTTGTCCTATATGTGAAATTTAAACATTAGCAGTATCCTAATATTCAAATTATGCAAGTGTAACATGGTGGAATATTGCTCATGTATAGTCCTTCTCTCTTCTTGTTGTATTCTCTCTTTCTCTCTCTCTCTCTCTCTCTCTATCTTTATCTTTGTCTCTTTCTGCTGTATCTTTCTTTGTCTTAATTTGTTATAGATGTATTTATAAAATGTGCTGGCATGTCTAGTTGAAGCTATCTATTGAAGCTATCCTGTTCCCACACTGGGATATAGCCTTTATGACCCTATTGCCATTCACAGTATTAATCCATCCTGTTCGATACAATACTAGACTTTAATGCCATTCATAAATCTGTAATAATAGAGATTAAGCTCTATGAAAGGGGATTTAGATATCAGACGGGCTCTTTGTGGTCATTCATGCTTTGTGACTATTCTTAGAAATATGCTCTTTGAAGATCACCTCATAGGACTGTGTCTTGGGCCATGAGTGGTGACCTTGAACCAATAAGAGTAGAGTTTTAGATTAGACCCCTTCCCCCTTTTTAAAGTAATGACCAATAAAATGATCGGAGGAAAAGTCGAGTATGAATGTTTAATGAGGTATAAAAGTAGTTTGCATGAATGTTTTGATCACTTGGCTCCACCCCGACTTGGTCTCCTCTACCTGTACCCCTGTCCTCCCATCTCCCTCAAGCTGTCCCTGAACTAACAACTAATTGCTGCATGTGAAAATCAACAAGTTCTGGACTCTCAAAGTTAACGAAGTACAGCGTTTTTTTTTTCAGTTCAGTTCAGTTTATTAATATCATCATTTCGCAGCCTGGGCTGAATTGCATGACAATTTACAATTAAAAACATATCATATTTCTTTCACAATTGTTTCAAATATACTACTAGTTAAAATACCATATAATTAACAAAGACAATGAATTGTCATCAATAGTTAGATCACTTTCTAGTGACAATTCATAATATTAGCATTAAGAATAATTCAATGTATATATATATACAACAACAATATTTGCATTAATAATATTATCTAATTTGGTTTTGCATCATTCAGTAGAGATTGGGTAAATAAGTCATTGATAAGGTATTTGAGTGCTTAATTGAACAAAAAAAAATAACCTTGTTGATACCTGTAATGCTATGCGTAATACCCATGTTCATGCTTCGATAATCAATTATGCCCCTGGAAATATAATTATATGAGAAATATGTTCTGATTTCAAAATATATATCGATAATAATAATTAAATAAATAGTGACACCGGTTTCGTCAAAAAGAGTTAGGCGTACATTGTTCTCTATTCACCCCTTTTATACAACCTTGGCATTATTCATTTAGGCAAGTTGTCAGAAATGGAATGGAGCTATTCTGATATCTTTTTGTCCTGGCATTGATAGATTTGTACGTTCGGCTGGTCCTGAGCTGCATGGAATGAGTTGTGTCGTTGAGAGGGAACACATTCGAGTATATATGGGAACGTACACATGCTTCGGCAAACTTTGTACATAGGTCATGCCTTCTTTCTTCTAAAGTTTCTATTGAAGCTATTTTCCAGAAATCGTTCAAGAAAGCCAAGTCACTTCAATCACCAAGTCGGGAATATTCAACTAAATTTTACAACATACTTCAAGGGAACTTAATCTGAAAGTGTCAGGAACTGATTCATAAGGAGGAACATTGATAGGAGGAACATTGATTGCAGATACGTCGGTAAATAGGTACCATTAACCCTATGCCAATTTGATGCTGTGTTCCTGATTTTGATCCTGAGTTCCTGAATTTGATCCTGTCATCCTGATCCCGCAACTGTGTTCCCGATTCCGTTCCCGTCTTCGACGTCGTCATCTTTCCTGTTCCCATACCCGCAGCATCGTTGTCCATCTCTTCATCTCGTCTGCAACGGCCGAATCAGTACATCCACTCGAATCGCGAATAGTCTACCGCGCTGTATGTAAGTGGCCACAGTACTAACAATTTCTAACTAACCTCCTTCTTCCCAACCCTTAATGTCCCATTTATTTAGATTAACAAGTTAAGGCTTTTAAAGTGTATTTTAGCTTAAGGTGTATTTTGATATGATTGTATGTTGAAGAGAGGACAGAGATCTTCTGGATTATTGATACTATTTCCATGACATTGTTTGATAATAAATACTGTTAGAAGAGTAGTTGATACAGGTCAGTGATTGATAAATAAACATATATGACACCTTAAATATTATATCGTGTCCCAGCGCTTTTATTCTTTGACTTTATTTTAAATCGGTGGTCTATTTGAACTAACCCCTCCCCCGAGTGAAAGTCATAGCTAGCGGACCAATACAAAAACCTGATTTCACTCGGAGCTCGATTCTACTATTTCATTATAATAGATGACGGCGTGGTGTGGGCGGTTAGACGGAACCCACAACCTTATTTCCGCGTTATCAGCACGATTTTAAAAGCTCTCCAAATTCATAAGAAACTTTTTTTTTTAAATATTAATAATTGCATGTTTCCAGAAAGACTGGTATGATTTTCCTGGTCAAGTTCAGCGCTTGGGCATGAATTTATCTATTACGTACATTCCTTAATAGTGACCTTGTTTCCTATTTGTTGATAATGTTTGATATTATTTGATTTGTGGTATTATATTTCATGTGTGCAGAGGAATAGTTAATTGGTTCGGAAATTAATGATATATCATTTGGTTTTATCCTGATTTATTGCAAATCATTTTCTCATAGCAATCAGGTTTACGTAGGTCGTAGCCATGGGCAGAATAAGTTACCTTTTCCTTTTTATGTTTGTTTCTTTGAATATGTTTGGCGTGCCTCCGGTTGATAGACTTTGTTGTCAGTTGTGTGAGTGTGGAGGTCATGATGAAAAAGAAAAAGATGACACAATAGTTGAGATGTATATTTTGAAAAACTTAAAAAGTTTAGTATTTCCAAGCCGAGCAAAACTTAAGATTTAAACGGTCCCCGTTCGGATAGATTATAGCAAGCACTGACTTATTATCCTATTTTTTGGCTTTTGATTTATTTAAGGTAATTAAAATATGTTGTAGTAACATTATGGCAATTCCAAAAGTTTTAAATTACAATAATATTATTTTTCCCTGTAAGTGACATGTAAGTTTTGTTAAACCCAAGTAATTCATCATAGTATTGTCAAAGATCAGGGATTTTTAGTTGTGCCAGGGAGAAGGAATAATTGCGCAAATTAGTTTTGTTTTGAGGAGTTGAGGAGGGCACTCGCTCTGACTTATTTATATTTTAAGTTGATAGAAAGAATTGTTTTTAGGGAACACATGATAGTTTGCTACTAACAAATTAGAGATTTCGGGTATTGTTGTGATCAAGGTAATCGTAGGTACTGAGACAGAAAGTATAAGAAGGCTTAGAACAGTGGACCAAATAAAGATGTGAGAGAAGATTTTCATTAAATTAGATGTAGCATTTAAGTTCCAGCTAGGGTGGAGTTCAAGGAACTTCCACGTATTCCCCTTATCAAGAGCTCATTGCTGGCTTTAGTTTCTGCAACGAAATAAGTCGTAAATAGGCATGATGCAGATAAGGTAGGAGTAGGCTGTTTTAAAGTAGTTTAGTATCGGAGATCATCATGTTACGGTTAGTCTAAAAGAAAGATAACGTTGCACATGGATGAGTTTTTTTTTTTTTTTAAATAGTTTTGTTAGTATTTTCTTGAGGAAAATATTGAGATGCTACCTTTGTAGGAGCGTCCAGTCGTATATATTTTTATATGTGTAGTTGAAAGTCTGATCAATGTTTTAAAGTGGTCCACTATTGCTTTGCCTTTTGTGCTTAAATTTCTAGCCTGCTAGTTGCTGATATCACACATTTAATTCAATGGGATATAGAATATTTTCTTTCTGGGAAGTATATCTTTTGAGAGTAAAACTAAAAGTATTTTTGTTTTGAAAAATTGTTAGATATGAATTTTGGTAGAAATTGTTGGATAAGGGAAAATTTGATAGAGAATATATTTAATTTGCCATTTCGTTACTTCAGCATATACAACTGTTAAATGTGAGAAAATGTTCGGATTTTGATTTGTTTTTTTGTTTTTTGTTTTTTTTTGGTTAAAAATTTGGAAATAATTAACCTAGGCCCCATCATAGATTATGAAGTAATTGCAAGGACTGTCCCATGGCAAAATGATAAGGGAGATGACTTGATCCCGAGTTTAGGTATTATTTAGCAACTTGTACTAAATAATGAAGACTGTGTGGTGATATATTTGTTGATGTTGTTTTTGTTGATGATGTTGAAACAGTGATAATGATGATGAAGTGGAAGGTGGTGTTACTCCGTCCCCTACCCGTCCATGTGAGCAGCAAGAGGCCGCCTGAATTGAAGAGGAAGACTGTCCTCCGAGACGGTCACAAAGGTGCCAGCGCCCTGACCGGATAGATTTATTCCATTAGAGACAAGTGTACTGGACAAAAGTGCTGATTTTGAATTTCAATTAGGCCAGTCAATTCCAGATTGCACAGGTTCTGAAATTAGAGATGATGGTTCTGTTACTTCTGTAAATACAGATGATATTGCGACTGAAGATAATGTAAGAAATTATGCTCCTGTAGAAGTTGACCCCTCTCCTGTCCCTTCAGGTGACGAGCAAGAGACCGCCTCTGTTGAAGAGGAGGACTGTCCACCGAGACAGTCAAAAAGATGTTCTCGTCAACCTGATCGGTTAACGTATTATCAAAGTCAAATTGTCCAACCAATTGTTAGGAATAAATACAATTGTATGATGTTGTATGGACTGCTGATGATGCTGCTTTTGAAGTTTGTGTTTGTTTTGTTTTCACCAGTTGAGATTGTTGTGAGCGTGATGTTGATATCGATGATTCTTATAATGTCATCTTTTCCCATAGTAAGAGAACAGTTAGCCTTCTTTTTTTTTAGATCAGAAATTGTGCCTACATATAGGATACAACCTGAATTCTTTAAGGGGAATAGGACTTGTTATGATATTGTTAATGACAAAAACTTGGGAGAATGAAGTCTTTTTCATTTATAAATTGCTATTCCTCTGAATAACATGATATTTAGCTCAATATTGTAATAATATAGATACTCTACTTTGTTGATTTATTGTCTGAACATGGCTGGAGCATGTCTCACTATGCCAACCAAACCAGATTGGTTTGATTTAAGTTTTAGACTTTGTCATTATTTTGTTGGTTGATCTATCAGTTGATCATTTCTTTCATAAATAATGTCCAATATACTGCGGACATTATTATTTATTTTGTTTTATCAACGCACGTTAAATGATTGGTATCATTGAAGGGTGCATAAAGGATACCCTAGTTTCACATGAATTTAGTGAATAGGTTACTTTTAAAAGTAAGCCATATTTATTTTGTTTTGTTCACGTTTGAGTTTGAAGATTAGGAATATGATTGAATATTCCATAGATTACTATAATGAAATTATAAGGGCAGTTCTGGAAAAGAGAGATCGATGTCAAAGACCATTTTACATTTCACTTTTTATTCAAATTTGATTGTAGTTTGGAAGAAATGATGATTTGACCGTATTAATATCTCAAGGCACTTTTAGTGTGCTTATGTTGTATTTAATATTAAGGCGAACTTAAATATAGTTCCGTTTGTTTTATTTTGATTGTTTAAACTTGTTACCTGTTACATCAGAGTCACATGAGTTGATAGTCAGATTTCTGATAATTATTATATTGAAACTTAATTGAATTTTTGCATTCGATATTTAAACCATGTTTGATTTGAAATTGCTGTTGTAGTAAGACAAAGTAATAATTAATCTGAGTGGAAGATATCAAACCAATTCACACATGTGGAGTGTGGAAGAAATTATTTTGGATTGTAATAATTTGTACTGGTGTGTTTTCTGTGTATACTTTCTTATATTCTAAGTATATATTTTGTATTTGATAAACAAAATTTAAGCAAGGTCACTAGTAAAATAAGGTGTCTTAGTAGGTGTCATGAAAGATTTGTGATATTATGTACAGCTATTGTTTTATTGGTGTTCAATATCAATTCAAAATTACTATTGCATAATTTTAGAATTATTATTGGGAATGGCGCGGACGCCATTCTGGTGGCAGGGGGGAAGGTGTAACATGGTGGAATATTGCTCATGTATAGTCCTTCTCTCTTCTTGTTGTATTCTCTCTTTCTCTCTCTCTCTCTCTCTCTATCTTTATCTTTGTCTCTTTCTGCTGTATCTTTCTTTGTCTTAATTTGTTATAGATGTATTTATAAAATGTGCTGGCATGTCTAGTTGAAGCTATCTATTGAAGCTATCCTGTTCCCACACTGGGATATAGCCTTTATGACCCTATTGCCATTCACAGTATTAATCCATCCTGTTCGATACAATACTAGACTTTAATGCCATTCATAAATCTGTAATAATAGAGATTAAGCTCTATGAAAGGGGATTTAGATATCAGACGGGCTCTTTGTGGTCATTCATGCTTTGTGACTATTCTTAGAAATATGCTCTTTGAAGATCACCTCATAGGACTGTGTCTTGGGCCATGAGTGGTGACCTTGAACCAATAAGAGTAGAGTTTTAGATTAGACCCCTTCCCCCTTTTTAAAGTAATGACCAATAAAATGATCGGAGGAAAAGTCGAGTATGAATGTTTAATGAGGTATAAAAGTAGTTTGCATGAATGTTTTGATCACTTGGCTCCACCCCGACTTGGTCTCCTCTACCTGTACCCCTGTCCTCCCATCTCCCTCAAGCTGTCCCTGAACTAACAACTAATTGCTGCATGTGAAAATCAACAAGTTCTGGACTCTCAAAGTTAACGAAGTACAGCGTTTTCCAGAAATCGTTCAAGAAAGCCAAGTCACTTCAATCACCAAGTCGGGAATATTCAACTAAATTTTACAACATACTTCAAGGGAACTTAATCTGAAAGTGTCAGGAACTGATTCATAAGGAGGAACATTGATAGGAGGAACATTGATTGCAGATACGTCGGTAAATAGGTACCATTAACCCTATGCCAATTTGATGCTGTGTTCCTGATTTTGATCCTGAGTTCCTGAATTTGATCCTGTCATCCTGATCCCGCAACTGTGTTCCCGATTCCGTTCCCGTCTTCGACGTCGTCATCTTTCCTGTTCCCATACCCGCAGCATCGTTGTCCATCTCTTCATCTCGTCTGCAACGGCCGAATCAGTACATCCACTCGAATCGCGAATAGTCTACCGCGCTGTATGTAAGTGGCCACAGTACTAACAATTTCTAACTAACCTCCTTCTTCCCAACCCTTAATGTCCCATTTATTTAGATTAACAAGTTAAGGCTTTTAAAGTGTATTTTAGCTTAAGGTGTATTTTGATATGATTGTATGTTGAAGAGAGGACAGAGATCTTCTGGATTATTGATACTATTTCCATGACATTGTTTGATAATAAATACTGTTAGAAGAGTAGTTGATACAGGTCAGTGATTGATAAATAAACATATATGACACCTTAAATATTATATCGTGTCCCAGCGCTTTTATTCTTTGACTTTATTTTAAATCGGTGGTCTATTTGAACTAACCCCTCCCCCGAGTGAAAGTCATAGCTAGCGGACCAATACAAAAACCTGATTTCACTCGGAGCTCGATTCTACTATTTCATTATAATAGATGACGGCGTGGTGTGGGCGGTTAGACAAGGAAACCCGTTTACTTGCTAGATTCCACTGTCAGACACTATTGAGTGACTGACTGGCATTTTTTCATCTTTGGTAATAACGTACATGAAATGAGCTGTACAGGGTACATGAGCATTTGTCTATATCGATAACCCACTTCTTGTAATGGCCAAAATAATACTGATTGAATCTTTGCGCAGCATAATACGTACGTCCTTTCGGTACAATGGTCTGAAAAATCAGACTATTAATTACTGGCTCTATAGCTCCTAAGTCGAATCGACAACTAATAGTCGTTATTTTCCCACTTAAAGACATTTTCAAGCCCCCTTTTCTTTAGGGAAGTTCTAAATTAGTATTGTCTTTCAACTGCCGTTGGAATAAAACCTTTTCATTTTTTGGCCTGCAAATGGGACATAGTACCTTTAAGGTAAAAAGTTAAGCTTTCCCTTTAACGCTGTGTTCTGCACGGAGCTCCAAATAATTTTGCTTAAAATAAGGTTGCTCTCATTTTACGATCCTGGGGTTGGAGTGGGGTCTAGTGTTTCATTGGCTCACCTTCTCAGGTTCAGGGCAAAACTTGAACAAAGTTGACAGTTTTTGCAAGGTTTATGCCAAGGGGGCAGGAAGTTTTAACTTTGAGCCGCTGACGGGAGAAGAATGGGGCGGAAAATAGAGGCGTGTTGCTCCGAAGAAAAGGGCCCCTGTCAATCGGAGATATTGTTGTTGTTGTTGAAAATGTGCGAACAAGTTTTTATTTGATGAGAGTTTACCACTCTCTCTTTCTCTCTCTTCCCCTCTAACCACACACTACCCTCCCCCCTCTCTCTCTCTTTCTTTCTCTCTTTTCCCTCTCTGCATTCCTATTCCCTACTCTCCTCTCCTCTAATTCTCTCTCCTTACCTTCGGTTCTATTTCATTTGTTTTACTGGATAGGCTATGTCGATTTTGTCGGGATTTTTCTGTTCCAAATCCATCTTTCCTTTTCTCTCTCTCTCTCTCTCTCTCTCATCTTACTTCCGCTGTTCTCGACCACCCCAACAGCTCACTCTCTCTTTTAATTATTTTTTGCTACAAGAGTGGCCCTCAAATTTGAACTTCAATTATACATGCGAAGTTTGGCAGGGGAGGGGGGAGGGGGGGGGGGGGACAGAGGAGGAACCCTTTTCGAATCCGCCGAAGCGGCCCGAGTATCTTGTAATCTATCATCTAACATCCAAAAAATCTGACGGACCTGTTGTAAAGAAACTTCACAAAATACTTTCTTCAAACAGATGATTGGTACTTTAGTATACAGTAATGCAGTTCTAGTATTTGTTGTTGTCTTTCCTAATGTTGATGTTGTTGTTCTTACTGGTGGTTGAGGTGGTGGCGGCGGCGGTGTTGTTCTTGTTGCTTGTGTTGTGGATGTCTTTTGTGAACTTCAAACTTCGTCTTTTCCGGTTTCAAACCGGAACAATACTTATATACAGTATCAGCCGGAGTGCTGGCTTATTAATTTTGTTTCCAAATTTTCTTAATATTTTATATTTCGTTGCCTTGCACAGTGGATAATAATAACTTTCCAATGATGTCCCCTTTGAAATTTTAAGTTTTTTCATAGGTCATGAAACATCCTTCCATGTTATTTGATTGATTCAGTTGTTTCCATTTAGAAAATTAATGGCATTATAACAAAACCTTACTTTAGTAAAGAGCTGTAGATCTGGTTCATATATTCAATTTTAATTTTAATGTCAGGAGTGGACTATTGAAGACGCGGACAGTTCGTGCTACTATTGTTGTTGCTGCTGTTCTTGAACGAGTTATACTCGCACAGTATTGTAAAAGCAGTAGATCTGGAATATGGAACGTACGAACAGTGATCATACAAGGGATCTCCTTGGCCATCCATCCACTTCTGCCCAGCGGACCACATCGCCATTATCATTACACAATCTATTACACGGCTAATTAGCCAGTGCTAATCGACGATGAATAAGGTACCTTTTATTCGCTCTACTATTATCACACACAATAGTAAGTAGTGTCGCCATCAATACCACACAAGTGTGTGTTGTGTGTGGCTTACACGCGTGTCATAATATACTTCATTGATTACAGCATGGAGGTGTTTATATCCCTGATTACAGCTACCTAATACTGGTAGCTAATGAGATTAATCATGACGACAATAACGGTGTTTATTTGGTTTTGTTGACTTAGGTCTGGGGGTTTATTTGGTATTGTTGGTGTAGGTCCCGAGGATCGCAGTTGCGTTTCAAGGAACCAGTGAAATTGGTCTATGTGATTACGTAATCGATTGGACTTCGCTTCGAATTCCTCCAAATAAATCTTCAAAATGAAACTCTCTGTTCAACTTGGAAATATACTCGAAAAGCTCTTCCATAGGTAGGTAATTTTGTTTTGGCGTGGCATTGGGTCGTTTTGCAGTGTTACGGTTTGTTTAATCAGGGAGTTACTCCCTGGTTTTATTATGTTTTATTTCGTTTATCTACAAAAACCAGTGTATAATTTTATTGATAACCTGTTGATAACATGTGTATTAAATGCTCACACAAAGCACACCCGAAGTAAGTGTCAGAAATAGAGTGATGATAATGAAAATATTAAACATTATGATGATGATCATGTGGATGATGATGATGATGAAGATAATAGTAATAATAATGATAATGATAATGATAATAACCATAATATAGTCAAACCGATCTATTACCGCCACCCAAGGGAAACGGTAAAGTGGCCATTGCCTTGGAAACAGGTGGTATTCATATGGAGGTGGTCACTAAAGGTTTGACTGTGATAATAGTAATAATGATAACAAAGATTTCAGGCTTATAACGCTCAAATATCAGTCTGTTACAGCACACAAGTAGAGAAATCCCATTAATACACAATTTACATAATCAACAGTCACAAAAGATGTACTTTAGATGCACAGAAATAATCGAAACTTCGAAACAACCCATTCTAAACATTAAATGATGTGGGATTTTCTAACAACATTATTACTAGAAATGTATTTTCAAACGAGCTGAACGTTTTGCGACAAGGCAGCCCTTTTAAGCCATCATGTCGTTGTGGGCTTAGAATAACAAGCAATTTGAATTTTGTGAAGAACTTTTAGATCAATCTTGATGTCGAAGCAAATCATAGAATATCACTGAATAAGGAGGAGAAAGAAATGTTGGTGGGTTTTATGAAGATATGGATATATGTTAGGTCCACCTCTTACAATGGACCATGCTATGACAACCATAGGCCTGTATTATACCCTATATTCTGACAAGGTCTTGTGCAGGATTTAATAACTGGAGTATGTTTTTAACTATTCATTGTCAACGGAGAGGAAGTGATTGCCAAATAGGAGTAAAAAGGAGGGAAAATAGCAAGGGGGAAAAAGAGGGAGAAAAGAAAAGGCTTTTTATTCACGCACGCTTTGCCAGAGCCCCGGGCGAAGGAGGGTAAGGTTATACGGGGTGCTTCCGTTTTTCGTCGGGGCTCGGGCGGGCTAGCCATGCCCTTCTTTGCAGCCTAGCTCAGTCGACTGAATGGCGGACAATAGACCGTCAAAACACACTCTTTGTTTTGTAGTCTTTTCTCACACCTACAGGCATTAAACACAACTCACTTGGTAAGGAGAGACAGAGACAGAACAAGAGAGAGAGAGAGAGAGAGAGAAAGAGAGAGATATATACAGACAGAACAAGAGAGAGAGAGAGAGAGAAATAAAGAGACGAAAAAGTATCACTGAAGAAATGCATGCATGGAAAAAACAACTCATGAGTTCATTGAATTATTTTTAATAGTTGAGAACCAAATTTCCGCTTTAAATTTTTTTTTTTTAAATCATAATTTTCATTTATCAAGACAAGGTAATCCTGTTTACAAAGACTTGTAGTTTACAGAAAACTAAAAATCGTCATATAGCTTTAACAAAAACAAAATTAGACATGTTGTTGATGAAATTTATTCTTTAAACAAATGTTTTATCGTTATTGGTTTGAATTTATACATGATGGGGACTATTTCAAAAGTGGTAAATTCAAAATACAAATGGAACCAGATATTTGGGTAGAATAGTAAACGATTGATGAGAGAAACGTGACAATTTGATTGAAATGATGAAGTCAGTACTTACGATGCAGGTGACATATTTTACATCATTAACTAGTAAGGGCAGGTTCTGACTCTCGATCAGTCAAACCAGGGAGGTGAGACTTTAACTCACATGCCCTGGTCAAACCATAGACTGTACTAAAAATTCAGACATTTTTATTTTTGCCCTATAGAAAATTCCCAGACATACATGCACCCTAAATGTAATTGCTGTAAATCAGTTTTGATAAAACCCATGCCTTAAACTAATCAATGTCATTAATAACTAAGGAAATGAAACTTCATATTACATTTTCTGTACAGAGCAAATGGGAAGGGAGCTCGCAAGATAATTCTCAGAGCTGCCAATTTGTGTTTGTTTGATGACAACTTCGGAAAGTCATAACTTTCTTATTTTTCATCGGATATTGCTCAAACTTTTTACGCCCTACTTCCCACATGTTTGTCTGCTTCTCTTAAAACCAACTTAAAATCAGGGTGAACTTCCCTTTTAAAATATCCCACTTTGTATAAGAGAATGAATTTTCTAGTCATCGAATGAACGAGTAAAATTGGGAAATCGACAAGAAAATACCATTTGAACTGACGTATACTGTGGTGAAGCAGTGAAAACAAAACAATACCTGTTAGGAGCCTGGCTGGTGACACGGGCAATGGTATTACGCAATAGGTAGACGTTTCGACCGTTATCTAAACCGTCTTACAATAACCACA